CAGTCTTTGAAAGTGACAGATGTTATTTAGGCTTTTGCATTTCAACGGTAATTCGCTAGTAAATATATCTACATACATCAAAGTTTTTACTTTTTTTCGATCACTAGAAGTGTTTTTTCCCTTGCATTTTTTTTACTCTTTCTGTCCTGCGGGCACTAATAGGGCCTTTTATTAAGTTCCTCTTAGGTTCGGGTTCCAGTCACTGCCAAGCCAAGTTCACTTTACAGTGGGTCTGGTCTGATAGTGACCAAGTATTGTAAAGAGACCGGATAGTGAAAGACGGAGTACGACATATCAGTGACAAACTATCCTCAGAAAAATTCCTCGGGAATTTCGACTCCCCCCTGTAATTTAAATCGTCAAAATAATTTTTATTTTAATTCTGTAAATTAAACTGATGTAAAGTTTATTTATGTCAGTCTGACGAAACACGTCATTTATATAATTTAAACATTCATATTTTTATTTGGATAGCTACATTATGAATAATCTCTAGAAAAGTTTTGTTCTTGGTTCATAACTGTCAATGGAAGATAGGGGCTAGTTGCATCAGGATATATAATAGCATATGCAGTTTAAAAATCAAAAAGTGTTAAAGCTACATCGTGGTAGTTTGTGTAATTACTTTCTGTGTGAAAAGTTTCAGCGTGACGGGAGACAAAGGCATATTGTATAAGAAATACACAAGAAGGGGGTATAATTGGCTTTCATACGTTTGCAAGTGTTGATGAGAAAAAGCCATTGAAAATATAACTTATTTTCAATGCTAGGTCTTGCTTCAATGCTCATAGCTTGCTAGACTGGCACATTGCATCACCTACACGGGGGGCATCCTAATGCCCTCGAGTAGGTGATGCAATGTGCAATCTCTGCATTAGGATGGTTTTGCAATGTGTAAAAATAAATGTATAAAATAAGCAAACCAAAGCGGTTACGCTCTATGATTATTTGAAAATTGACGATATAAATTAATTAGATGCTGTGATGATAAAAGTTTATTGATACCATCGATGTATATTTTAATTTTTAAGAAGTCCACTGTTGCCATTCAGGAATAATAAAACTTTTAGCATTTGTTTAATGTTAACTATAATTTTACTAATTTCTTCTGTATGGTTATTTTCTGGCAGGGCGTAATGAGGACTTATAATACGAAAACAGACTGTGGCAATATTCTAGATGATACCATGCTTGCAGCAGCAAATAAGTTAAATTAATTTATTCACTTGAATATAATCAATGTCTAATTCTCGTATATTCTGAGATATTCTGCGTGTTATTAGATACAGGGTGAGGCAGCCGAATGGCGATGCAGTTTAGGTGGCAGTCTACCGCTTTAGGATACCCGGGATCGAATCCGGAAAAACGGGTCGAAAAACCTCAGAAATTTTTCGGGATGGTCTGTTTGTCTACGTAGGCCCCCTCTCTAGCCACCGGCCGAACACATAATGGGTTTGCTAAAAAAAAGGCCGTCTTAGTACCTACAGGTCGAGAAGAGTTTTTAAAAATGCTAGAGAGTGATTTTGAATGTAGTCTTTATCTTATGCAATACAAATTAACTAAGATTTCAATTATAACTTTTATTGAGATTGAAGATTTGTGATCTTCTTGTTCTATTTTATCATCAATAATTATAATAAAAATATTTAATTTATATCCGATTGTTTAATGAGAAAGTATAATAGGTTATGAAAAGGTATTGTTAATGGTTCAATAAAACGCAAGATTTGAATTTATTCATCAAAATTTATTTCCTCCCCTTCAAAGTAATTTCTTCCCACTGCAATGAACTTATGTCAACGTTTTCGTTGAAACCCCTTCAGGACTCGCAGCGAGCTTTGTTTTATGGCATTAATCGGATCAGAACCGTGATCACAAAGCGGAAATTTTAGTCGAGGAAACAGGAAAAAGTCACACGATTCAATGTCAGGTGAATACGACGTTTGCGGAACCGTATTCCTTGATTTTTTTTTGCCAAAAATTAACCAACAAGAGAATCGTATGCAAAATCTTTGAGTTTTCTCGCCACAAATTAGGTCATTCACTACGAATTGCTTCATGCAAACGATGCAAAACGCTCAAATAATATTCTTTGTTGACAGCTTGGCCAGTCGGAAAGAATTTGTAATATATAATACAATGACAATAAAAGAAAATAGTCAACACGACCCTGATTTGTGACTGACTGACGTGGTCTTTTCGGTCTTGCTTCATCTTTCGAGCGCCATTCACGCATTCGACGCGCTAAATTATCTTTTAAAATTACTTGACAAGATCCAAATGATACTGGAACATGTTCAATAATGTCCTTAATTGTTAAACGACAGTTATTAGACACCAAATCGAACGATGCGACGTGTTGTTCATCAATTGAAGTTCATCACTCTATCAAAGAGCATGGTTCGTCTTCAACTATTCTCTGCTTTCCTCGAACATCTTGTACCATTCGAAAACTCTTGTTTTTGATAGACAATCGTTACCAAAGACTTTTTGTAACATTTCCAACGTTTTTGTAGCAGTAATTCCCATTGAGATAACATGAAACGACGACAGTGCTATCTTTCACTAGCTCAGTTTAAACGAATTATTCTGGATATTTTTGATCCAGTAATCTTATACATTGATCTTATAAATAAGTGTTTTCGCATCAAAACATTTCAAAATAAAAGTTTTATTTAGTTTATTTTAATACAGGCTATTTTAAATCGATTTTGCTAAAATAATAATAATAATAATAATAATAATAATAATAAAACTGGTAGAGAAAACAAGTAAGGATGATATTCGGTCGAGGATTTCTGCGACAATCCGATTTAATGACGTTACTATGCAGACATTTGGCAATAACAACATGTATGGAAATTGCGAGTAAACATTTAGGATATTATTTTAGTCGATTCGCTTTACAGATTGCAAAGAAACTTCTCTGTTATCGCTAACAAGAACGTGTAAGATGATATTATAGTCGAGCCATTCAGTCATTCGACTCGCACAGTTATTCTCCACTCGGCGATGTTGAAAATAATAATAAAAGTTTTTCTTAAATTTAAATCCGATATTTACTACTGTATATGGTTTCTCTCGGTATTAAAAAATTTTTTCGAAAAATTATTCAAATTATTTTATATTTTCGTCAATGTTTATCATTTTTATTTTTATATAGTTTAAGTTTCTTTATTACTGGATTAAAATATCATTGTGTTTATTAACCTCGCATACTTTTCTTTTTTAATTTGGTAATTATATATCAATTTCCTTTTAAAAATTATATATTTATTCTATAAAATTTCATTTTTGAAGATTTAGGGAGTGATTTTATATGGTTATAGTGTTTCTGTACCCATATAAAATCACTCAAAAATCAAATATTAACTTAAAATAAAAAGTTAATTGTGAAGCGTTGAATTTTGTCAAGCTAATTACACTAAAAGGAAAAGATCTTTATAAGAATATAAAGGCCTTTTTCCTTTATAAATATCTTTATATTTTTAAGTATAAGATTCTATAATATACAGTAGACACCCTATAACGCTGTAGATAATTCCGTTTTATACGAATTCCATGTTGTACGAGTCACCTAGATTTTACAAATACGTGTGCCGGGCTGTGAACGGCTCACGTATTTGTAAAATCTAGGTGACTCGTACAACATGGAATTCGTATAAAACGGAATTATCTACAGCGTTATAGGGTGTCTACTGTATATTATAGAATCTTATACTTAAAAATATAAAGATATTTATAAAGGAAAAAGGCCTTTATATTCTTATAAAGATCTTTTCCTTTTAGTGTAATTAGCTTGACAAAATTCAACGCTTCACAATTAACTTTTTATTTTAAGTTAATATTTGATTTTTGAGTGATTTTATATGGGTACAGAAACACTATAACCATATAAAATCACTCCCTAAATCTTCAAAAATGAAATTTTATAGAATAAATATATAATTTTTAAAAGGAAATTGATATATAATTACCAAATTAAAAAAGAAAAGTATGCGAGGTTAATAAACACAATGATATTTTAATCCAGTAATAAAGAAACTTAAACTATATAAAAATAAAAATGATAAACATTGACGAAAATATAAAATAATTTGAATAATTTTTCGAAAAATTTTTTTAATACCGAGAGAAACCATATACAGTAGTAAATATCGGATTTAAATTTAAGAAAAACTTTTATTATTATTTTCAACATCGCCGAGTGGAGAATAACTGTGCGAGTCGAATGACTGAATGGCTCGACTATAATATCATCTTACACGTTCTTGTTAGCGATAACAGAGAAGTTTCTTTGCAATCTGTAAAGCGAATCGACTAAAATAATATCCTAAATGTTTACTCGCAATTNCGTTTGTTTCTTGAAAATTTTATCACGATTTAAATACAGTATTTACTTTTAATATTACCGATATGTCATCGAAAAGAAAACGTGTTGTATTATCATTAAAAGACAAAGTATTTGTTTCGATTATCCGGATTTTTCCTTATCCGGACTACCTTCATCCTCAATTAGTCCGGATAATCGAGGTTCTACTGTATCACAATTAGATTTATTCTTACAATTTAGAAATAAATTCGTGGAAAATATAAATTATAAAATTCCAAAAAATAAAACTTAAATTTGAATATTTTAAGTAATTATCAAGAAACATAAATCATACTATTTGATTAAACATTAATTTACTTCAAACGAATCGTGGAATCGAAAATTTTTATTTAATTAATATTGCCGAAAATTAATTATTTAAAATAATCAACAATAATTTTAATTAAACTAAAATAGTTAATATATATTTAAAATTAATGATTTTAATATTCATTTAAAATAAGCTATTATTTTTAGATGTTTATAATATAATTTTTAATAATTTAATAAATGAATAAATTCCGAGATAAAATTAATTTATTTATAATAGAACAAGTAAATTTATATGTTTTATTATATTGTTTCTTTTCCTGTTTATAAAGATATGACTTTTATCTTTTTAGAGCTTCCAACAGCCAAAGTAATACCAAAACGTTTAGAAATAAACGAAAGTCAATCGACAGAGATGTTGTGTATTGGAGAAGGTAAACCTACCCCCGAGGTACATTGGAATGTATCAGCTTTGTCTTCTAACTATACTATAGAATATCTGACAGAGAATTTAACAAAAAACGAAGCGGCTCAGATAGTGAGAATTAGCGAAGTGAGGAGGGAAGATTTCGGATGGTTGAAATGTATAGTCGAAAACGCCGTTGGTACACAAAACGATGCAGTTCGCTTAATTATCAACGGTAAATTTATATTATTCTAAATGATATATAATATAATCATAATTAATTATTTATCAGAAAAGTGCATTTGTTAATGTAAGTCGAACGGCACTAATTATTAATTAATATAGCGACATTGTAAATGAACGAATAAATTTTTGACTTGTTTACTGCAAATTAAATATGGGTAAAAAAATCCTTCTCCGTTACTAACAGGTAAAATCGATCAAGGACATTTCGAATTGATAAAAGTAACCTTTAATGAGACTAGACGTTCATTTGCTTATTGCTTATTGAACTGTAATTCACTGTCGTTGATTAATATTCCTCGTGTATTAATGGAATATATCCATTATTCGTTCCAAGTTCGTAGGAAATAAACGTACTGTAATGCGACGATAATTTTTATTTGAGGGTAATTGCCATAAAAAAAATCCAAATACATTAAAAGCTTCAGAAGATATTACTTTTTTTCCAATTGTATTTATTAATATGATCGACTCTTTAGACTAAGCTTTATTCAATTCAACAGCTTTAGCTATAGACATATTATATTAAATTTAATAGTAATAATAATAATATTTAAAAGAACACGTCAATTTTTATTTATTTAGACAGTTATTAAGATATATGTATATATAGATGATGTCTTACGATTGTTTTCCTTTTAAGAAAACATTTATGTTAAATTACAGGGCCATTCAATCAATGTGCCACAGACTGGGCCATTATTTTGCAATAAGCGCTCATGCAAATTAGATTGGGATAATTTTATTAAATGAAGAGAACATTACTATTTCAGGTAGTAAAGAAAGACAGTTTTAGTAATATAACTTCTGCAAAAAATCTGCAAAGAGTTCTATCATAGAATTAGCCAGAAAACTGGAATATCGTGGAGCAGTGCCCATAGAATTTTGCAAGGTAAATTATAGGAGCATATTATCCAATGTACCAAGCAGGTTCCTTTAGGAATGGAATAATGTAAAGCTGATATGGTAAATATAATTCTCGATCAAATTGATAACGAAGTCATGGATGCTCAATTTGTATGGTTTCAGGCTAGGTGCACTTCCATCTGGACGTATATGTCAATTGGCAAAATTATTAGTTTTGGCCACTGAAAACCTCCAGCAATTTATAGAGATGCCACAACATCCTCCGAAAACTGTCTGAGAAGCAACGAGTCACCAAGGCATAAGTGGACCAATATTAATCCATCAAAATATCAACACCGCTGTTTATTCCAACATCTTCGATAATAAAGTTTTACCATTTTTCGTAATCATTTTTTCGTAATCATTTGATATCCAACAAGGTGTTTAGTTGTTCTAGAGGAGTGAGGAATGGGATCTCTTTTGCCACACCCGAATCCTTGTGACTTATTATCTGTGTGATTAAGTGAAGGACAGTGTATAGAAAGAGCTCGAGAACCGTCAAGAACACACATGTTTTCACATTGACATAAGAATAAATGTTTATTAGTCAATTGATCAATTATTGAGTTCATAGCGATAATCAATAAGTAACTGGCACATTATTTGAAAGACCATGTATATGTAACATTAAGTAAGTTATAATATAAATAAGTTAATGTTAATCATTTATCGATATAATAAATTATAACCCGATTTTCATTTCTTATAACAGAAAATAAAAAAAAATATTACGAACAAATAATTTAACAGCATTGACTGAAAAGAAAAGAAAAAAAATGTTATATTTTTCAAGACTAGAAATCTTTCGAAAAAATGAATTATTAAAAAAGTGTGTAGGATGAAATAAATCGATTTGGAGTTGGAAAAATTATTTTTAATGAAAGTAACCTGATTGAACGTTAAACGAATTCTAGACACGAAAATACTTCTGATGAAAATTGAATCCATTTTTAACTGGACAGAACTCAGTTTTATCTTCAATATTTACAGTATACTGTATATATTGTTAGTTCGGATTTTTGGATCATTTTCTGACTTAAAATAATTCTTTTTCTAATTTAAGAACTGTGTGATTTTACTTGTACAATACTTAAATCATATGCGATTCCACCCATTCATACCAATTAGTTATTAAAAATAATGTCTTGAAACAATCCTTATGTGTCATAAAATCACAATGAATTTAATACAAAAGCAAATATGTTTCTTTTGAAATCTTGATATTTTATACCTAATTGGTCTTTACGTTCAGAGAAGACGTAATAGATTAAAAATGAAAAATATATGACAGAAATGAAAACGGTTTTATATATTAAAATCTGAATTTGATGTAATTTATCATCCGTTATTACTATTTTTAATAAGTTTTTTTAAAGTTATTGATTACACGATGTTTTCTAAAAGTTTATCACTAACAAGTATCGTTAATTAGATTCAGATTAGATTCATTGCCATTTGATGTATGGCAGTACTTTACGTTTCATTTCTAAATATGCAGATGCATCAAGCTATCAGGAAAACATTTAAATTTTTATGATTTTGCTTGTTTTTTATACATTTTGTTCTTAATTTAGAGCATAGGAGTAAAAAGGCTTTAAATTTAACTATATTAAAAGCATGTGATGTATTTAATTTACGATAAGAAATGTTCTTTCTCCCTCTAAAAACTGATAACTTGTTGAAACGAGAATATAGAAGTGTTTAATTTAATTTAGAGCATACAGCCTATTACATATCACTTAGTGTTTTAGTATTTAAATTTTACAGCAATTCTACACTACTCTCAGTATTGCTAATTAGATTATTTCAATTTAGGAATTCAAATTATTTTTCCTTTGATATAGGTACTTTATTATTTAGTTTATTCATTTACTAAATTCTTTTCAAGTAGTGTTACTAATTATGTAAACACTAAGTTGAATATCTTTGGAGACATTTAAATCTGTAACATTCTGCTTGTGTACTATTGTATCCCACTTGATAAAGTGGGATATAGATAAGAAATGAATTCAATACTGTTATATATTCCTTTTCTTTTTTGGAAACAATCCAAGATGATTTCCTGTGTTATCACTGAATATAACTTCTCGGATAATACATTATATGACATTATCTAGCCATAATAAAATTTTATCTCATTATAGCATCTTCACTGCATTCCTTTGAGCAATGACGGATGCTTAGACTAGTCTAATATATTTAGTTTATGATAAATCTAAACCGATTTGAAAAATCGGTATGAATTTATGTCCGTTTTAAGAATTATTCTGATAATGAAGACCTGAATCCATTAATGACTGATAAGAATCTGAGGTAGATAATAATTTAATGTTTCCAATAAAAAAATTCCTGCTACGAGTTGATATATTTTCAATTATAAAATGGCAAAAAAAAACTTAATTTTGATGGTTGATTTTATAAATAATTATAAATGCTAATCAGGAGTAAAATCGTCATTAAGTCCGACGACCCTACTCGAGATATGACACACGACCCGTTTATCTCCCCACCCAGTCGACCTTTAACCATCAAAATTTAATAGACTTAATCCCTCTAAGACTCAAACCTCTCGGCAAAATTTCAGAAATTTTCGACAAAAAGCGCGGAAATTAAGCTTCAAAGAAGGTAAACAAAACCGTGTATCGTCCAAAAACACAAATACACGTAATCTAATTTTTATCTCTTTAACGTAACACTAGGATCAAATCAGTTATCGTTATTTACTGCCGACACTTCTTAATACCTTTATGATAATTTTACTATTTATACTAGCATCGTAGCTATCTGTAAAACTCTCTCAGTTAAATTACCCCTGGTAAACAATACGGATCGACAGGAAAGGATGCAAAAAAAAAAACACTAGAGAATACAACATATGCATTTTATTTAGAAAATACTAAAAAAAATATAAATAAAAAAATTTTCATAAGAGCAGATTATAAATAGCACTTTGATGTGTCTGGAAATCAATATTGACTTTCTTCAATTAAACACGTTTAATTGAAGAAAGATGATATTCATATTTTGTTAAGAGTGCGAGAGAATATTCTTTAACAAATAATATAGGCTATAATTTACTCGTAAATTTAGAATCAAAATGTTAACGTTTACTGTTTATAAAATAAATTTATTTTCTGAAATACATAAATAAATAAGTACAGTACGATCACTGTAATCCGAACTAATTGAGAACGGTGGTAGTTCGGATTAAAGAAGGTATATTTTGAGGCCATTTTTTTTTTGTTTTACTGTTGTAAGATACTAAGGTTTCTCATTTCCCGGTAAAAAAGTGAACTGTTTCTGAAACGAAAAGAATTTTCCGGGTTAAAAATTAGCCGGGATCCATATAGAGACTTTACAATTGTTATTAAGTCAAACAGAATGAAAGGAATGAGCAGCAATGCTGACAACACTTGACTTACAAGTCTATTATTTTAGTTAGGAAAATGATAAAAGCTGTTCGGATTAACGCGATCGTTCTGTAATATAAAAAGTAAACATTTCAAGGTAATTTTTTAAATTACTGTATTTTGCCGTTCTTATTACAAAAATATACCTTACAAAGCCGATATTATTTCGTGAATTTCCTGTTGATTTGGTACATATTTATTCCCCAAACAAACAAATTAAATCCAATATAAATTTAAAAATTAATATATATACATATATACTTATTTATTTATTTTAATTTTTAGCTCCTCCTCAAATAAACTACTTAGGAACTGTGAAGAACTTTTATTGGGAAATAAGTTACGAATTAACAGGATATCCTCAACCCAGTATATACTGGTACCGTAACGATAAGCCACTCCAATTATCCAATATTACTTTCGCTGTTGAGAAAAAAAAAATTACCAATAATTTATCCGTAACGAAAGGTAATATTTAATTCATGGTAGTAATAAAGTAATTACTGTATTTGTATTATATATGTATATATATAAATTTTTTTAAATGTAACCTTTGATTATTTAGTAAATGATATTTTTAACATTAAAAGAAAATTATATTTTAATAACAATTATTATTTTTATTTATAGGATGTCTCGAAATTCAGATTGCCACTCATATTAGTGACGGTATTTATACTCTAGTTGCTGTTAATAATTACGGAACGGCAAACATGTCGGTAGAAGCAAGGTTTCTTACAGGTATATGTAAACTAATGATGTTTTTTTTTTCATTCCTATATTTAATTAATTTCATAAGTAAATTTATTTTGTCATACGTTTATATATTCAAAAATAATTAAATAATTATTTAGGCACGTTTCCTAATGATACTCGCTTTCCGAATCAACACATGAATCCAACAATGGGAGGGATGATGAAAATGTCAGAGAAAGATGAAGAAAATCAAGAAACTTATCTGGTAAATCTAATGCATTTAAATTACAATAATTTAAACTAGTAAAACAACTTTTTGTTATATTCAAAATGTATACAATGATATTTTTATTATAGTTTTATATCTGAAGACTCGATATGTTTTTATTTTTCTTAAAAAAAAAAAAAAAACATTTTAGAGTTTTAAATAACCGTATATATTTTATTAATAATGAAAAAAAAAACTGAAGTTAAATATAGTTATTTAATTGAAATATTTTAATAATTTTATTTTATTTTTTTCAGTTACCTTTTCTTATAGCTGGAAGCGTAACATTTGCAGTTATTTTACTTTTAACGACATTTTTTTCTCTTCAACTGAGAAAATGTCGCGATTCTCCAAATTTCCAAGAAGGAAGCGGATTCTGCCACTTGACTAACGTTTTCTGTTGGTTGTTGTGTCGAAAAGAAAACAGTAAAAGAACTGGAGTAACCGGAAGAGAAAGGATTCCTTTAAATCCATCGAAAATGGTGGAAAATCCAAATTATCGTAAGGACGAAGAAAAGAACTGTTCTGTTGGTTAGCATTGACTTATTACACTTAAATTTATTTATTATTTAATTAAAAAAGAATGTATTATTTCTTGTAGAAATACGTCATATTGCTAAAGAGAAAATAAGTTTCATCCAGACTTTAGGAGAAGGAGCATTTGGAAGGGTGTTTCTTGGAACCGTAGACTATTTAACTCCGGACGAACCGACGACTCTCGTTGCAGTGAAAACTCTAAAAGATCCTAATCAAGAAGATGCTAGACCTGACTTTTATAGAGAAGCCGAATTACTTACAACATTACAACACGAAAATATCGTTAGCTTTTATGGTGTTTCAACGGACGGAAATCCTCTGATGTTGGTATTCGAATATATGGAACACGGGGATCTAAATAATTTCTTAAGGTAATTTTTACCTGTTACTTCGTAAATATCACAAGTAATGTCGTTTGATTTCATCTATATTCGTTTTTCTAATAGAGACAGAGGACCAGACTTGATAATTTCGAAAACAGAACCAAAAAAATATGAAACTCTTTCGTTATCGGGACTTTTAAAAATCTCTGCTCAAATCGCTGCGGGTATGGAATATTTAGCATCGCAGCATTTCGTTCATAGAGATCTCGCCACAAGAAATTGCCTCGTCGGTGAAAATTTGGTGGTCAAAATTGGTGATTTTGGAATGTCTCGTGACGTTTACAGCACCGATTATTATAGGGTAGATCAGTTTTCTAGAATTAATACTTAAACATAAATTAATCGAACTTCATTAAGTAAAGTAAACTATGTTATTAATATTAAAATTATCCTCATATTTCATAATTTATTTAATACGCATTCGTCTATCCTCTCGTGTAATATTTAATAGATACTTCGTAATTATCGGTACGAAGAAAACGAATAGAAAAGAACAATGCCATCAATTGATTGTAAAATTCCACCTGTAACGAGCGATCGTTCGATATTTAATCACTCAAATTAGGCCTATATATTATTTAATCGTTCAAAATTAAATTATTTTTATAAATTACGAATTATAAAATGTTTTATTTAAATAATTACATTTTAATTAGTTTTAATTTAGTATTAATTATACCCGATTTCTACTGTTGATTTAACGATTGTTAAATTAGAAACAATTAAAGCATTAAAGTATTTAAGTATTTTTTTTATAGTTTTGCATTTGTTTTCTTATATAGGATATTAAAAAATGGCATATAGTAGAAAGTGCACACCATACTGAACAAAAAAAAAAAAAAATTCTTACTAAACATAGATCGAAATTTCAACCGTTTCAGAGATAATCTGATAAAAACCTAGAATTTTTGAGAGAATTCACGAATCTGTAAGAAGATACCAAGCGTGCATGACGCCAAGGAAGCGTGCATGGAAACGGAAGGACGTGTGCAATACTTTCTATGAATATCGAGGTGAAAATTCTGCAAGATTATCCTCCCTTTTCACGTCGCACGACACATAGAAGCCAATGAATTAGTCATGATTGTAACATATAAAATTATTTATATCTCAGAAACCATTGAGTTTTTCGATATATGTTTACTAAATTTTACTCAATAAGGTGTCGACTAACAACTATACAATATCGGGGTTTCTTTTTCCTGTATTTTATGGATGTTAGTGTGTGCGGGGAGACACGATTTTGTTCACCCTCTTGGACGCTTAATAATCCCTATGCTTTTTTGTCGAAAATTTCTGAAATTTTGCATGAAGTTTTATGTATTTATATATGTTTGATGTTATTAATTTACTCTTAAATAATTAAATCGAGAAAGATTGTTTTTATACTTGAAGAAAGAACAATAATTAAAGGAAATTTGTAGAATAATAATAATAATATAATAATAATAAAACTGGTAGAGAAAACAAGTAAGGATGATATTCGGTCGAGGATTTCTGCGACAATCCGATTTAATGACGTTACTATGCAGACATTTGGCAATAACAACATGTATGGAAATTGCGAGTAAACATTTAGGATATTATTTTAGTCGATTCGCTTTACAGATTGCAAAGAAACTTCTCTGTTATCGCTAACAAGAACGTGTAAGATGATATTATAGTCGAGCCATTCAGTCATTCGACTCGCACAGTTATTCTCCACTCGGCGATGTTGAAAATAATAATAAAAGTTTTTCTTAAATTTAAATCCGATATTTACTACTGTATATGGTTTCTCTCGGTATTAAAAAAATTTTTCGAAAAATTATTCAAATTATTTTATATTTTCGTCAATGTTTATCATTTTTATTTTTATATAGTTTAAGTTTCTTTATTACTGGATTAAAATATCATTGTGTTTATTAACCTCGCATACTTTTCTTTTTTAATTTGGTAATTATATATCAATTTCCTTTTAAAAATTATATATTTATTCTATAAAATTTCATTTTTGAAGATTTAGGGAGTGATTTTATATGGTTATAGTGTTTCTGTACCCATATAAAATCACTCAAAAATCAAATATTAACTTAAAATAAAAAGTTAATTGTGAAGCGTTGAATTTTGTCAAGCTAATTACACTAAAAGGAAAAGATCTTTATAAGAATATAAAGGCCTTTTTCCTTTATAAATATCTTTATATTTTTAAGTATAAGATTCTATAATATACAGTAGACACCCTATAACGCTGTAGATAATTCCGTTTTATACGAATTCCATGTTGTACGAGTCACCTAGATTTTACAAATACGTGTGCCGGGCTGTGAACGGCTCACGTATTTGTAAAATCTAGGTGACTCGTACAACATGGAATTCGTATAAAACGGAATTATCTACAGCGTTATAGGGTGTCTACTGTATATTATAGAATCTTATACTTAAAAATATAAAGATATTTATAAAGGAAAAAGGCCTTTATATTCTTATAAAGATCTTTTCCTTTTAGTGTAATTAGCTTGACAAAATTCAACGCTTCACAATTAACTTTTTATTTTAAGTTAATATTTGATTTTTGAGTGATTTTATATGGGTACAGAAACACTATAACCATATAAAATCACTCCCTAAATCTTCAAAAATGAAATTTTATAGAATAAATATATAATTTTTAAAAGGAAATTGATATATAATTACCAAATTAAAAAAGAAAAGTATGCGAGGTTAATAAACACAATGATATTTTAATCCAGTAATAAAGAAACTTAAACTATATAAAAATAAAAATGATAAACATTGACGAAAATATAAAATAATTTGAATAATTTTTCGAAAAATTTTTTTAATACCGAGAGAAACCATATACAGTAGTAAATATCGGATTTAAATTTAAGAAAAACTTTTATTATTATTTTCAACATCGCCGAGTGGAGAATAACTGTGCGAGTCGAATGACTGAATGGCTCGACTATAATATCATCTTACACGTTCTTGTTAGCGATAACAGAGAAGTTTCTTTGCAATCTGTAAAGCGAATCGACTAAAATAATATCCTAAATGTTTACTCGCAATTTCCATACATGTTGTTATTGCCAAATGTCTGCATAGTAACGTCATTAAATCGGATTGTCGCAGAAATCCTCGACCGAATATCATCCTTACTTGTTTTCTCTACCAGTTTTATTATTATTATTATTATTATTATTATTATTTTAGCAAAATCGATTTAAAATAGCCTGTATTAAAATAAACTAAATAAAACTTTTATTTTGAAATGTTTTGATGCGAAAACACTTATTTATAAGATCAATGTATAAGATTACTGGATCAAAAATATCCAGAATAATTCGTTTAAACTGAGCTAGTGAAAGATAGCACTGTCGTCGTTTCATGTTATCTCAATGGGAATTACTGCTACAAAAACGTTGGAAATGTTACAAAAAGTCTTTGGTAACGATTGTCTATCAAAAACAAGAGTTTTCGAATGGTACAAGATGTTCGAGGAAAGCAGAGAATAGTTGAAGACGAACCATGCTCTTTGATAGAGTGATGAACTTCAATTGATGAACAACACGTCGCATCGTTCGATTTGGTGTCTAATAACTGTCGTTTAACAATTAAGGNACTGCTTTTTATTTTATAAAATCCGTCTTCTTGCGCCACCAGAGGGCCTTTTAAACAATAGGTAGTCTGTTAGCGCTGGTCAGTAGTAGTCCAAATTCAATACGAACGTTTGTTTCTTGAAAATTTTATCACGATTTAAATACAGTATTTACTTTTAATATTACCGATATGTCATCGAAAAGAAAACGTGTTGTATTATCATTAAAAGACAAAGTATTTGTTTCGATTATCCGGATTTTTCCTTATCCGGACTACCTTCATCCTCAATTAGTCCGGATAATCGAGGTTCTACTGTATCACAATTAGATTTATTCTTACAATTTAGAAATAAATTCGTGGAAAATATAAATTATAAAATTCCAAAAAATAAAACTTAAATTTGAATATTTTAAGTAATTATCAAGAAACATAAATCATACTATTTGATTAAACATTAATTTACTTCAAACGAATCGTGGAATCGAAAATTTTTATTTAATTAATATTGCCGAAAATTAATTATTTAAAATAATCAACAATAATTTTAATTAAACTAAAATAGTTAATATATATTTAAAATTAATGATTTTAATATTCATTTAAAATAAGCTATTATTTTTAGATGTTTATAATATAATTTTTAATAATTTAATAAATGAATAAATTCCGAGATAAAATTAATTTATTTATAATAGAACAAGTAAATTTATATGTTTTATTATATTGTTTCTTTTCCTGTTTATAAAGATATGACTTTTATCTTTTTAGAGCTTCCAACAGCCAAAGTAATACCAAAACGTTTAGAAATAAACGAAAGTCAATCGACAGAGATGTTGTGTATTGGAGAAGGTAAACCTACCCCCGAGGTACATTGGAATGTATCAGCTTTGTCTTCTAACTATACTATAGAATATCTGACAGAGAATTTAACAAAAAACGAAGCGGCTCAGATAGTGAGAATTAGCGAAGTGAGGAGGGAAGATTTCGGATGGTTGAAATGTATAGTCGAAAACGCCGTTGGTACACAAAACGATGCAGTTCGCTTAATTATCAACGGTAAATTTATATTATTCTAAATGATATACATACGCCTGTAATCAAAAAGTATCGGGAATGGTTCAATAAAACGCAAGATTTGAATTTATTCATCAAAATTTATTTCCTCCCCTTCAAAGTAATTTCTTCCCACTGCAATGAACTTATGTCAACGTTTTCGTTGAAACCCCTTCAGGACTCGCAGCGAGCTTTGTTTTATGGCATTAATCGGATCAGNTTTAAAATTTTTGTATTTACTGTTTAACTGAGTATTTGTATTATTCTTTTCTACATTTATATATAGAAAAGAATAATACAAATAGTGTGGTATCACTTACATATACATACAATCCAGACTAAGTGTAGTAAACAATATATAAAATGGGATATTATATTATTGTAGAGTTATCGGATCTTTTCTATTTAAATTTTATATGCCCACCAAATAGGGATATATATATGGTAGAACTCGGCTTTTCGTGCCTCGATTAACCGTGGTTGCGCATTATCCGAGGCGAATTACACTACTTTATTATACTTTAATTCAAACTATGTTACGAAGAATTTAAATTTTTATTACTTTTCCACTTACAATTTGAAAGCAAAAATGCTTGTTGCATCTTATAGAACTTTATCTAAATTGAATGCAATTTTAAAAATTATACAATTAAGATCCTTATCTATCTATAGATGGAAAGACATACGATGCTGCCAGTGAGGTGGATGCCTCCCGAAAGCATAACATATAGGAAATTTACAGTCGAGTCGGACATTTGGAGCTACGGAGTTGTTTTGTGGGAGATATTTACTTTTGGAAAGCAGCCTTGGTACGAACTTTCTAATCACGAGGTAAGCTTTATCGAGCTAAAAATAAGTTTACAATTTTTTTCATAACGAAAAGATAATGGTAAATTCAATTTTTTTTGTTTATAAAAGTATATTAATTTGTATTAATTTTTAAGGTTATCGAACAAGTCACGAATGGCAAATTATTATCGAAACCAAGCAGATGTCCGGAAGAAGTGTACGCGATAATGAAATCGTGTTGGCATCAAAATCCTCAAGAAAGAATACCGATGTCGGTTGTGAGTAAACAAATTCATCAAATCACCACAAACGAACCCGAATACTTGGAATTAATCGAGTGAATTTTATGGTTTCCGTATAAAATATATATGTGTAAATAAATATATATATATTTTGAAAAGAAAAAAAAGGGCTATGTTATAGAAATAGTGAATTTTAAAAGTATTATCCGTATTTGTCCATTTGTAAGTGTGAAAAGTTATTCGTTGTTCAACTATAATATATATAATAAGATGTGAACATTTACAATCTTGAAGTCGTTACATCCGAGCCACAACTGTATATAAAAATCAATCGAGACGAACAAACAAACAAAAAAAAAAGTCTAAAAATAAAATTATATATTCCTGCACAATCGATATTTCTTCTATTTAAAACTTTGAATCGTGTATGGAAGATTTACGAAGACAAAATAAGAAATAAAAAATAATAAAGAAGCCTCTTGTTAAATGTGATACTACGATTTTATAAACGTAAAATCTAGTCAGATGTTTTCTTTTATAGAATAAATTTCATTTAGAAAAGTATTATTATTATTATTATTCTACAGAAGAATCAACTTCCATGGATCGATTGAAAGAAATTGAAATATTGTCAGTTAATTGTTGTATTATTAAAACGTGTTAATAAACTTATATAATGAGAAATACTTCGTAATAAACTCGTTAATAAACAACAGTTGATCATTTAATATTTAATAATTAAATTAAATTACAGTAGAGCGTCGATTATCCGAATCAATTGGGGACTGGGGTTGTTCGGAAGATCGATGTTTCGGATAACCGATTATGTACGAAAAATATATTAATTTATCCCATCTTGACATTTTTCTCCGTTGCGTGTCGCTTCGCGTTGAATTTTCGTCGATGTTAAGCCTAACGAAGACTATTGTATCGTTAAAAATTATTTTTTTATTTTGTACGAACAAAATAAATATATTGAAAAATATAAAAACAATAAAAAATTATACTTCAAAAGTTAATTTAGTATCAAAAACGTAAAATATTTGAGTAGCCCAACACATAGCCAAAGATTGCAGCGCCACAGCACTGGCGAAAATTTAAATTTGCCGACTGGAATTCTTTCGGATGATTGACGTTTCGGATGATTGACTTTCGGATAATCGACGCTCTAATGTATTTACATCACATATTAAAAATACGTTACTTTTAAATGTTATTTATATATATATTTTTATTTAATTTCTTAATGATATAAACTTTATTTTTTTATTAATTTATTCTCTGCATTAATTGCTTAAAATCAAGTGGAAGAGAATAGCTTATTACGATGTAAAATAGCTGCTTACTCTTAAAGAATAAAAGTTCATTTGCTAATAAAAAAAATGGAAAGAAAATATGGTTGGATGATTACGAATTTTTCTATAAGGCATTCCACTTAAAGGTAAATCGATTATACAATTATTTAAATAATATTTTTTACAAATTTTTTTCAAAATGTTATTCGAGAAAACTTGTGACACTAATCTCTTAAATCGATTTAAAGAAAAAAAAGAAAAACAATTTTAAAAACTATAAAAATATTTGCAAAAAGAAAGCTTAAACTGTTAATCAAGTATTAAATCTATTAAATCTCAAGCTTAATAAATTCTAAACTATAAAAAAGAAATAAAAATAAAAAGGGAATCAATAAGAATAAATTAGTTTACAACGTTAAAAAAAAGTAAATTTTCGAACAGAAATTATCAAATTAGATTAAGATTTTTCATCAACTAATTATTATCAATTTTCAGCTAATTATTTCGAAATAATAAGAATAAATTACGTTAAATTAATAAACATTTTTTTAAATTTTGAAAAACAAAATATAAAGTTCAAAGGTTTTTAAACTGAACTGGTTCAAAAACTTATTTCTTTGCTTAATTCGACTCGTTAATCCTTAACTAGATGAACATCCAAAGTCAAAGAGAACATCGCCTCCGGCCAATAACCTATTCTTTTTTCGTTATTGTTTTTTCAACAATACATAGAACACGTCCACGTCAACACCACTTTATCGATTAGCAACTTTAAAGCGGGTGTATGAAACTATACGATGTTAAGAACTAGCACAAACAATTAAAAAAAGCCTACGTATTTTATTACATGAAAATAAATTGAGTCTATTTTCAAATAATATAACTTGTGTTTTTTTTTTGTTTTTTTTTGGTAAAAGTATATATTTCTGTGGTGGTTCAGTAACAATGTCGTATCATCTGGTTTTTATAGTGACGAATTGCTCATCTCAAAGTTACTTCACTTACAAAACGTTCTCATCAATCACGCTCTGTTAGGTGAATCCTATGGACATAACTAAAAAAAAGACGTGGCACCGACCAGTTGTTCCCATCTTTCATCTCCTTTAGATACTGTAACGACTATCGGAAACTCATCCCACTCTATTGACCTTTCTTCTCTCCTTGATTCCCATCGAGTAACAGAATTTTTCGCAAATTTTTACTTAAAGATCTTTCGTATACTTAATTTTTTTTTAAATTAGACATTTAAAAATTTTAATATTTATTTTGCATAGCGGAATAAATAAATTATATTATGTAGGTGTAAGAGTTACAGGCATTATAGAATATTAAATAATTAACAAACGATAAATATTTACTTAAGAAAATTAAATAGATGAGACTTAATCATTAATTAGATTTATTTTAAAAGTTTCTCGTTACAAGATCCTATAACAAACTTAAATTTGTGACGTGATAACAGGAATAACATCTATATTAAATTATTTAATATTTATTTATTTTGTTTCCAGCTTCCATAATAATATAACACTTTTATGTTAAAATGTACATTAAGTATCTATTTTAATTTGTATTATACTACGATAAGTGAGCGTATTTTTTATCGAAATTTTTAAAAAATATATTAAAATCTTCTAAACTTTACATAACTACATATAAAAATTGATCAATTTTGTGTTTTCCTATTAGATTCGTATGAGTATCTCTCACAGATCGATATTATTTAGACCTAATACATCACACAAAATATCAAACTATTAAAAGTAGAGAATGAAAAACGATGCTTCAGTTATAATAACTATAATAAAGTCTAAGTAACATTTGTTTATTTGCTCTACTAGATCAGTGTGAGTTATATAAGTGTTTGCTTCGGTGCACAGCCTTTAGTTGTAGTCTATGTCGATAATTTCTCAATTTATTGTTTGTTCTTGTACACTAATAGAAACACGATAACAAATGAGTCATAAAAAATGATTAGCTTAACGTTTCTATTAATAACCGGTAGAAGTGATGCAGACTATAATTTTCCATAAGCCAAATTATATATATATAATACGTATAGCCTTTATATTTTAATTAAACAAATAAAAATAAATAAATAAACTTTTTTATTATTGTTGTTGTAATTTATATATATGTTACCGCTAAAGCTCGAAATCCGTTAATGTGCGCATTACCTAGCTAATCTGCAGATTAACTAGGGTGATCCGTTAAAGCTGAGAAAATTATTCCATTTCTCAAATTACCTAGGTAATGTTCAGATTATCTAGGTAATCTGCAAATTACCTACTAGGCACTCGGTAAAGTGAAAATAAGATTTTTGCTGGAACAACAGCAACGTTTCTGTACGCTTAAATTAACATAATGTTATTTATTTAATTTTCAATATCTAAAGAATCAAGTTAATACAATCAACAAATTAGTTGATTGAATCAATCATCAA